GTGTGTGTGTGTGTGTGTGTGTGTGTGTGTGTGTGTGTGTGTGTGTGTGTGTGTGTGTGTGTGTGTGTGTGTGTGTGTGTGTGTATGTGTGTATGTGTGTGTGTGTATAAAACCCCAATCAATTGTGTATTAAACTGGCATTTCAAGTTGACCTTACGTATATATATATAGTAACACGTACTCTCTTATTGTCGTTTACAAATGTACGTAGGCCCTATCTTAAATTTTATTGGGAGCTCCGCGCTTAGGCTTGCCTATATATGTATATATATATATATATATACAGTGTATATATATATTATAGAGTGTATCTATATTATTTCTATGGCATTTTCTGTGCGAAATATAGCTAGCAGCTCTGTGGTGGTGGCGCGCAAGTCAGAAATAACTTTGTTGAAGTAGATGTGCACCATACGTCGTTACTACTTATTTAAACTTAGCAAGAAGGACGGGTGGTGTCAATCTCAACTCTCCATGCTGGGATCAGTTGGAGATGAGTAAACAACTCGCAGTGGTGTACACAACAATTAAGGCCCAAGGGTTCCTTGTACGTACTGCATGACTACTGTATGTTAACCAGGACGCATTGATGATGTGGCGATGATAGACTGATAATGTATCAGCATGTGATAGAAACGTTTTGTGTACCATGTTTGCACTTGCAGCATAAAGATCAGCAGGCATTACCAACCGCTAAGGTCTACGTCTGTGTTCTACCCAAGGCTTGGGTAGCTCCAAGAAACGGTCTTGCTAGGGTTTATAGACAATCCGTCGCACAAACCTGGTCGGGCTAGGTCGTGGGCTACCTTATGCTACGGCACAGATCATAGTCATTGAGTCGCGGCCTGTCTAACTAACTATTACTATTAGTATTACAGCAGTAGTAACATGCACAGAGACAGAGTAAGAGACAGTCAAACGGATTAGCTACGTATAGTGTACAGTGTGTACGTAGCAGTGTAGTGTGTCGGTCAGTGAATCAGCCGACGCTATGGATCAATTTTGGATATGTCTCCCAGAACATGTAGGTTATTGAGAGTGCTAGTTCTAGAACTATATAGTCCTTCGCTTCGCCACAGGAAGCTGCCACAGCTCGCCTGTGGCGGACCGAAGGCGCTATAGTTCTAGAGCTATGACAGTGCCAAATGTCATTGCATATTGTCAAAGGGTTACCGGCCACTTCGGTTCAAGGATAGAGAACATGGGTCCCAATAAAACCAATGTAATTTACATCAATATAAATATAATATTACATCAATATAATAGGTTAGGGTTATGGTTAGGGTTAGGGTTAGAGTTAGGGTTAGAATTAGGGTTAGGGTAAGGTTTAGGCACATTGGTTTTATTGGGACCCATGTTCTCTATCCTTGGGCCCCAACTTCTTTAGGGATGTTTATGCTTTATATCACTACTAACTATAGTTCTAGAGCTATACTAGCTATAGATACAATAATGTAACCCAAACTCAGGAGGATAGGGCCCCTATCCTCCTGGGTTTGGGTTACATTATTGTATCTATACTAGCTATAACTCCAAGAAACGGTCTTGGTAGGGTTAGAAGAATAGGTATAGACAATCGGTCGCACAGCCTGGTCGGGCTATACTAGCTAGTGCTTTATAACTATATAGTCTCAAGCTTTGTCATCGTCACTTCTTTCAATACCATATATACTTCTTTTTATGCATGGCCGTTTCTTGAAACCTGGGATTTTAAGAATTGGAAGGGTAGAAATTGACATTTCATCAGGTGAGGCTCTTATATTTACTATAGATAATATAATATCTCTTATTTGATACGTTAATTTCCAGGTAGTGTGTTACATCTTCACATTCTTGGATGCAGCAGAAAAGAAATTGGTTTCACAAGTCTGTAAAGCTTGGTATATCGCATCGCTCCATCCAAGGCTCCAAGATGAGATGGTGTTTATACTTACAAACAGGACAAGCAGTCAGACAGTGAAGAATATTGCAAACAGATGTCCACCAAACCTTACATTCCTAGGCTTAGACTCCTCATGTAATACGAAACAGCTCTTATCAGCTGTTACTTATGAGTGGGGTAATTCCATCAGGCAACTTTCATTCAAAGCTTCAGCTATAAGTGAAGCTGATCTTGCCAAAGTAATTTCACAATGTAGTAACTTGCAATGTCTTGACCTCTCGTCTTGTGACAGTCTGTTTTTAACATCCAACCTGCTTAACAAGCCAGATGTGCACAACCTTATTAAAGACAAGCTTTGGAATGTTGGAGATGTACGGCTTTGTAACAACAAATATCTCTCCAATGACACGTTTGATTCGCTGATGTCACGTGTACCCAATATAAGGAGTCTATCTATTCGAGGGTGCCACATCCAATCTACCACTGCTACGTACTTGACAGGTCATGCAGCCTCCACTTGCGTGTTGACATTTCATCACCTGGCTGAGTTTTTATCTGAGCAAGTCATGACAGTAAAAGCATTGGATTTCAGTGAAACTGGAATTGAGGACAAGTCTTTGACATTAATTGCAGAGCTCCCCAACCTGCACTTGGAGGAACTACATCTCGCTTCGTGCAGAGCGATAACTGATGCGGGGATGGACAGGGTTTGTAGGAACCAGACACAGCTTACATGCCTCAATCTGAGTGGTTGTGTGAAGATAAGTGATCATAGTTTAAGAATGATAGCTGAAAACCTTCATAATGTCAAGTGCTTGAATGTCACCGAGTGTCCCTTGCTAAGCGATGACTGCATTTACTGGACGACAGTGATGAAAAACTTGGAAGAACTCCAGATGGGCAATTGTGTTAGGATATCTGGTTATGCTTGGAAATCAGCACTAGCAAACCAAGCATTCACCAGCGTGACAGCTCTTCATCTTGGCTACTGTTTACACATAAATGATGAAGTTGTTCTTGAGATTGCCAAATTGTTTCAACTGAAGCATCTGGACCTCAGCTTCTGTTCTAACATCACCAATGTTAGTATGCATGCCATATCTGCAAATCTGGTAAAGCTAGAATCTCTATTTTTGAGCGGCTGTCTAAACATAGAGAACTTTGTGTTAAATACTAGCGAAGGAATTTCACAACCAGAGTTTGCCTGCAGAAAACAGGTTCATAGGAATGACATGCAGCAGGGCAAATCATCTCTGCATTATGGAAGCAACATTCCGCCTGAGCAAAACCAAGTATGCCGTTTTGAAAGGCAATATGTAGAGCCATTCCATTATACCATCAACAACCTGGGCCGGCTCAGTACTCTAAGTTTAAATGTTTCTGCCACTTTGTCCGTTGCTAGCCTCGCTGAGGTAATACTACCTCGGATTCGCTACCTCGACCTTTCAGATTCCTTGAACCTCACTGATGCTATACTTGTGCAGTTTTCCAACAGCTGCCCACTGCTAGAGGATCTACGGGTGAGCAGTTGTTGTAAGATAACAGACGAGGGCGTATCCTACGTGCTAGCTCATAGTGCCCTGCTGACCAGGCTAGACGTATCCAGGTGTGATGGGCTGACGAGTGCATGCTTGCAGACAATTTGTACGTGGAGTCGCTCACTGCGGTACCTCGACGTGTCAGCCTGCCGCCGTCTGCACGTCGAAGAAGTCGAGAGCCTGGTGGTGAAGATGCCGCACCTCCAGATACGACAGCAGCTGCTTCGTGATAAAGGTGGCTCGCAGTTGGGAATCGTGCCAATACAGCTAGTAACTGCAAAAAGGAGATCAATTTTTGGATTTAATTACTAGTCATTATATGTATGTGTTCAAGTTCGAAACACTTTAACAAATTTAATGCAACAGCTTCTTATAGTGTAACACTGAATTAAATTTGTTCAAGCATTTAAAAATTATGTTTACAGGGTGTAGAACAATTGTGATATAAAAACTTTAGATATGTGTGCGAATGACACATGTGCTGTTACTGCTGATATTACTACTAGTAATGTGTTTGTAAGTAACCACAAGTTTGTTTTTCACTACTTTTCAATTTTTAAATGATATTGTTTCATATGTTTTATTGACTCGCGTAGCCGTTGTTGATAGTTTGACCAAATTCCCTTCAAAAATCTAATGTAGAAATATGACTATTTGTTCTTGATAATTGAATATCATGACACTGCAAACAATTATTAAGAAATGAAAAGTGACCACACAGGGCTAGCAAGGCCCAAAATTTCTTATGATGGGTGGCATATATGACCACGTCGTATCTGACTAAAATTGAATACCCATTGGTTATACCTAGGCCTATGCAATTTTGGTGTATACATGTTATATGTGATAGAAGGCTCCGGGGGGGGGGGCACTCCATATATATTGCATGGTAGGTATGTGCCGCGGGAGAGACCCCCCTTTTTCACCCTAAACTTCCGTTCCAGTGCATCACATTTTTAAGAATATCTCGTTCCAGAGCATCACAAGTTGAGTTACCATGCAGATCTTACCTTTTTCCCGTTCCGGAGACCCTAATTTTTAACATTTCCGTGCTGCTGTTCTTGTTTATTTACATCCGATGATAAACTCCGTGCGTGTGTTTTATTGCCGCTGTGGAATATGTGCGTATTGCGTATGTGCGCACCCCAATTTTCGAACATAGCCAGTTCCAGAGCATCCCACATTCAACAAACATTAGTTCCAGAGACCCCCATTTTCAGGTCTGATTTAGTTCCAGATCCCCCCATTTTTGACTTCGCAGTGGCACATACCAGGGAGTCTATAATAGACTCCCTGCACATACCTACCATAATGTAGGGTGAGTGCCCTCCCCCCCCCCCGGGAGAAGGCTATCCTACAGAGGCAAACCCAGCTGTTGTTGAAGAGGTGGTTCAAGGTTCAGTGAAGGTCTGAATATACAGGGACATTCTTAGGGCTTTGTAGGAAAGTCGGACACGCTTACGTGGGAACTTCTCCCTATAGGTTTTTGACTATTTTATTAAAACAATCTTATGTTTATCAACCTCCCTTGTTGATCAGGCTGTAAGTGTAATTTAATTAGTACTGCCTGTAATTTAGTTACAGGATGTGGTGCACAAGGTAGAGGACGGAGAATATACATTTTTCATGAGTTAAAAAACATGAACATGTTCAATCTTTATGGTCTATATATATCATAAAAAGCTCGATTGTGCTGCCGAAAGTGACTGTGGCTGACGCTCATAGGGGCTATGTCCCCCAAGGTACTGCCGAAACGTACCCTGGTAACTATCTGATATGGTTAGGGTTAGGGTTAGGGTTAGGGAGTAGGCGTAGGCGTAGGCGACACCCTAGACTCGTTAATGGAGTAGGCGAGGTACGGTCCGGCATAATATATAGTACCAGGGTACGTTCCGGCAGTACCCTGGGGGACATAGACCCTCTCAGCGTGGCTGACTATTGTCCGGTTTGCGTCGTCTGCATATCAAGCATGTGTGATGGGGCGGAGACCAATAGGGAGGTAGCTAGCAACGCTAGATCTATCGACACTAAAACCCATGAAGTGACACCTGCTCAAGTGCTTGTCTACGTGGGCATGATGCTAACACTAATCATGTTGAAGCTCTACGAAAGCACGCAACCACGCCCAAGTTTGGACAACACGTAGTGGGAGAGGATACAGGAGGATCGAGAGAAGGGTGTGATAAAGAGAAGAAGTATGAGGAGTAAAGATGGGAGAAGGGGATAAGATAAAAATGAGTAAGAAGGGCATGTATTGTAGAAGAGAATAAGAGTAGCAGAAGGTAGATGAGGGAAGGAGGGAGAGGAGAAAGCAGTGGATGGGAGAATGTGGAGAAAGCAGTGGAGGGGAGAATCAGGAGAAAGCAGTGGAGGGGAGAATCAGGAGAAAGCAGTGGAGGGGAGAATCAGGAGAAAGCAGTGGAGGGGAGAATGTGGAGAAGAAGCAGCGCGTGGACGGAGAATATAAGCAGCAAATAATGGAGCATAGGGTGTAGGACAACAGGGCCGTAGGCTGAGCAAATGCCTAGGGGGGGATCCAGGATTTCAAGGAGGGGTGAGAAATAGGGGGAGGTCTGGGGGTCTGTAATATCCCCCAGAAAATTTTGAAAATGTAGATCGCAGGAGATTGTATTTGAGGCACTTTTGAGTACATGTACAGCCTTCATTCTGACTACGACAATTCTCTTTTAGTAGAATTTATTACAATTTATTTTTTTAATAATTTTACTCCAAAATCTAGGGGGCAGCTGCCCCCTCCCCCGCAGGCTACGGCCCTGGACAAGTAGACGAGGGGAGAGTGTGGACCAATTATAGGCCTACGAGTGGAGAAAGTAGAGCACGTGGTGGCGAATTTAGCGAGGGGAAAATTGGTAGCAGAAGCTAGAAGATGGCGGAGAAACTGCAGGTGGTAATGGAGACACAATGGGGAGATCGGGTCATTATCTGTATATATAAAGTTGTTCAGCCGAATTAGTTTGTACTCGCATAACTAGAGAACTCCGCAGCCTAGAGGAAAACTAAAGATATTTTTAGAATCAGCACGTCTGGGAGGTGGTTCTGGCTGAAACAAACATTTTAAAAAGTTACAGTTAAAAATTCATAAAAATTCTATTCATCAATAGATGGTGGTGC